GCTCTAATAAAACAGCCACATAAGCAAAGTACTTAACTGACATGAGATTACTAAACTACCCCTATTCGGCTCACTCTAACACTCACTTTTCTGCTTCACATCGCCATTTTATATCCTTGCTATCCTCTGTTTCCACTCCCAAAACTGTCCAGGAAGCTCTTACCTCTCCAGAGTGGTGACAAGCAATGGAAGAGTAATTGTCTGCTTTACAACACAATCACACATGGGAACTTACTACTCTTCCTCCCGGTAAGCATGTTGTTGGGTGTAAGTGGGTTTACACAGTGAAGTATCTTCTAGATGGCAATGTGGAACGATTAAAGACCAGCTTAGTGGCCAAGGGCTATTCTCAGTTGTATGGTGTGGACTATATGGAGACGTTTTCTCCTGTGGCTAAAATTGGCTCAGTTTGGGTATTGATTTCACTAGCAACAATGTATGACTGGCCTCTCAAGCAACTTGACATCAAGAATGCCTTTTTGCACGGTGATCTAATTGAGGAGGTATATATGGAGCAACCACCAGGGTTTGTTGCTCAGGGGAGGATGGTAAAATTTATAGACTTAAAAAGGCAATTTATGGGCTGAAACAATCTCCACATGCGTGGTTTGGTAGATTTAGTGAAGTAGTGAAGAACTTTGGGATGAAACAGTGTCGGGTAGATCATTCCGTGTTCATCCATGATTCAAAAGATGGGAAAATATTGCTAGTGATGTATGTGGACGATATTGTCATAACTGGGAGTGACAACTGATGTAGGGTGATTTGGCCCGACCTTGTAGCACTGGGACACGTGGACATGACCTGGCATAAGTGACAACTCAGCGCGACAGCCTGGCCACAACTCGGCGTAACAAGCTCGCCAAGGCCCGACCAAACGACTCGGCGGGTGTGACAACTCACTGAGAAGCAAGGTCCAGCTCGCCCCAAGCCTGAGGGTGGAGCGCCCCGAGCTCCCCCCGTGCAAAGGGGCCCCAGCTCCTCTTGAGACCCGAGCTCCTCCTAAGGGGCTCCGAGCTCTACCTTCCTAAGAAGGGAGCACCCCAGCTTTTGGCTAAGTGTCCCGAGGGAGAAACACCTCGGGACAGCACCGTCGAGACTCCTATTCGTACTTGCTTAAGGCTCGCCTCCAGTGCGAGCACCTCGGCACCTTGGTGCCAAGCAAACCGGCCCCAGGCGGTTCAGTGCAAAGCAGCCCGGCAGCCTGTAGGGGAGATCTACCTGACATCTGTACCTGCCGGATCAGGTGATAGTGCCCACATCCCTTGCCAGGCAGCGTTGTGCCTGCCGTCTCTGAAAAGCATGGCACGCCTGACGAGTCTGTACCCTACAGCAGCAGCCTGCACCTGCCACCTCAGCCCTGGCAGTAACGGCTAGGGCAGTGGCGGTTACACCTAGTGTGACTGAGCTCTGGTATAAGAGGACCCCGACCCTCACGAAGCAAAGGTATTGAAGCTAGCACTTTCAGCACTCTTAACTCTCNTACACCTGATGTGACTGAGCTCTGGTATAAGAGGACCCCGACCCTCACGAAGCAAAGGTATTGAAGCTAGCACTTTCAGCACTCTTAACTCTCAGTGTTTTCTTTGAGTTTTCCTTAGGGTTCTAACTTAGCCATCGGAGTGTTCCCGCCAGGAGAGCTCCCCGGGAACCCTTCACTTTCCTCTTCCTCTTAGGTGTCGTCCGTCACAGCTAGGAGCCAAGTCCCGGCCAACTAGGAGTGCCCAGATCGTGCTGCATCAACAACAATGGGATTGACAAATGGAAGAACTTCCTACAAGATCACTTTAACACGAAAGATCTGGGTACACTGAAGTACTTCCTAGGAATAGAAGTTGCAAGGTCAAGGCATGGAATTAACTTATGTCAAAGGAAACATGTCCTTGACATGCTTGAAGAAATAGGGTTGTTAGGTGCCAAACTAGCCAAGACACCTATGGAACCAAATGCTAAGTTGAGTATTGATGATCCTAGAAGGTACAAGAGGTTGGTGGGAAAATTGAACTATCTGACTATCACAAGGCTGGATATATCATTTGTTGTAAGTATGGTAAGTTGGTTTATGCACATCCTTAGATTTCTCATTGGGAAGCAGTTCTAAGAATAGTTAGGTATCTGAAGGGTGCTCTAGGTCGTGGTCTGTTATACAAAAGTGGAGGAACTCTTGAGATAGAAGGGTATACAGATGTTGATTGGGCTAGTTCTGTGTCAGATAGAAGGTCAACTATAGGATATTGTACMTTCCTTGGTGGCAATCTGGTAACTTGGAAGAGCAAGAAACAAACAATGGTGGCAAGGAGCAGTGCAGAAGCTGAGTACAGGGCTATGGCTCATACTGCATGTGAACTACTTTGGTTGAAGAATTTGTTACAAGAGATGGGGTTCTCAATTGACAAACCCATGAGGTTATACTGTGATAATCAAGTTGTTGTATACATCTCTTGTAATCCAGTCTTCCATGAAAGAACAAAGCATATTAAAGTCGATTGCCACTTTGTAAGAGAAAAAGTGAATAGTGGAGTGATAACTACATCTCATGTGAGCTTAGGAAACCAATGGGCAGATCTTTTTACAAAGGGGCTATCTCGGGGCAGAGTAGATTACATATGTGACAAGTTGGGACTATATGACACATATACTCTCCAGTTTGAGGGGGAGTGTTAGAGTCGACAGTACATGGGTATTTTGGTCTTTTGTCTATCTAATTAGAAGTGAATGGTCTGTTTTATTCAAGTTTAAGTTATGTATCCCATCTCTTGTAAGGTGTTACTGTCTTTTGTAATTCAACTTGTTCATTATAAATACCAAGTGGGTCATACTTCGAACCTAGAACTGAATAGGACTAATCTACCTATTTACAAATTCCTACCGCATGATGATACTAATTCATCTCAAGGAAGCATTGAATAGAAATTTCACCCATGCCATAAATATATGCTTTGATGAGAGTTGAGAAAAGCCACCCTGGATAATCAATTTGGAAGGAACTTAATTGACAATTATCATCTTTTTAATAAGGTTGAGGAAAATTACATTGCTATAATATCATTTGACAATTATCATGTCATCCTGCTCCTTAAACATTTTCCATTAGCCCATTGAATAACATGAATCATTGCTTTCACTTTAGAAAGAAATTTATATTCCTGGTTATTTTTCTTATATCTAATTGGCATGGAATGTAGATGTAGAATGACCATTGCACTGTGAGCTGGTGTAACTGGTTTAGATCTATAGAACTCCATGGAACCATTTGTCTTTTATACATTTTCAATGTAAATGAAAGAAGCAATGACCTGAAATACTGAAGTGCCAAGGAGCCATCAGCAGCCCACAGTACCTAACCTTGACAATATCCATGGATAGATCTCCGTTTGTCAATGTTTAGGGGTTTACCTCACCAATCTCCAAAAGAGATCTCCCATATAAGTATAATTCTCTCAGCCTAAGCCAAAAAGGAAGTGGCTGATCCATCTGCATTTTACAATGGATTTGAACTCAAACATTAACTGAAGGCCACCACCTATGGGTGAAAAGAAGGATGGCATCAGTACTCTTAGATTCACCTAAGGTTGTTCTACTTCAAAAGGAATAGAGATGGGCACTATTACTGAATTGAGAATCAGTTTTAGCTCATATAACAAGGAACCACTCTACATTCTCTAATGAAAGGTCGAAAATGGAAGCATATTTTGAGATCTCAAAGGGACCACCATCCTCTCCCAAGTAACAGATTTGCACTCTTCTACCAAGTACTTCATTATGGGTCAAGATTTTCATTAGGCCATCTCCTATATGTATAGATCATGTATCATAAGCTTAGGAGTAAGGTTATATCCTATATCATATGTAAGCTTATGTATTTGTTCTTTTTCTTTCTTAGTTTCTTGGGAAAGAATTGTCCTTTCATCTTTTTGTATTAAGCTAATATAAATATCATTCTTTCTTGGGAGTGTGAACATCAGAACACACCCTTCAACCCTATTCTTGTCTCATTCGACTGGTTCTGACACTACTGAGATGGATGGGTGGAAAAACTAGAAAGGATAGGGTCAGAAGTGAAGTCATTCGGAGGAAACTAGAAGCTCCAATAGGTGATAAAATGAGAGAAAGTAGACTAAGATGGTTTGGTCATGTGCATATGAAGACCATCTACAGCACCAGTAAGAAGTGATCTATTGCAAGTTGAAGGAGCTAGAAGGGCCAGGAGCAGAAAAAAAGGACATGGGTTGAACTTGAACAGTAAGAAATGATTCAAGTGCTCATAATTTAACAATGGATGCAACATTAAACGGAACTGAGTTGCAAACAGGATTCATTTAACCGACCCCATATAGTTGGGACACGGCTTAGATGATGACGATTTACATTAGGAAATCTCAAGGCCAACTTGCTCCTCTTTCCCTCTCTGTGTTTTTGGATGGTCCATGATTTTCCAACCACTTCTGTTAGCACCATCTTCGGAGATTACGACGTTCCTCCCCTGAAGACTGTTAGCAGCCCACGCTTGTTCTAAATATGGCATCAGTCCCTTTGACTATTTTTTTTGGTGACCAAAGTAAACATAATTAAATGTCAAAATTACAGATGCCTCTAAATAGTATCTCTTTCATAACATTATATGTTTTTGCATACATAATACACTCAGGTACATATCCTTGTATATCTTGTTATTGGTAAAAAAACATTATAAGAAAAATAATTGTTCTTATCAATAATAAAAAATTTTGGTAGGACAAAAGGGTAAAAGAAAAGAAACATAAAAGAGGAAGAGAAAGAACATCATGAAGTATATTGGCATCTCTGCACTAATATTATATTATAAACTTATTAACATATATCACCCCAAAAATCTTCAATCTGTTATTACATTTCCACAAAGGTGATATCATAACATAGTGGTGTAGAGTTCATATTCATATTGAAATTGACATAATGATTAAAGGTATAAGAAATTCTAGAAATTCATAAAGAACCTAGATGCTATATAAATTACCTACCTGGGAATGGACAGTTATTTGAAACATGTGTACCACATCTGTGATATCCAATGCAGTTGTTGCAATCTTAACTATGTCTGCTCCAGTAGCTTGTATTCTTGCAACCAGGTCGCCAATACCCTCAACTGATGGAGTATTCTGATAGTTATGAGAAGAAACTATAATTTTCAAGTTTTGAGGCTTTCTTCCACATATGGAATTGATGAATTCATGAGCAACCTTCAAGATACAGAAAACTAAGAGTCAGATATACTACACCCCCAACTAAATGCTCTAACTTCAGGAGTGGATCAACCATTATGGACTTGACTAGGAAAGCCTAAGGATTAACAGCAGTGGTATTAAGGGGAATAAAGAAAGAAAAGGAGAAAGCATCTTTTTTTTGTTGTTAATAGTCGCATTTATTTTGCTTATATTCTCATTGTACAGTGCCTTGGTGTACATGGGTGCAGATGCAATTTTTTTTTTTGTTATATATATACAATACCTTATGTTTTGGCAAAAATGTGATTATGAAATTATCATATATTTCCTTGGTTTGAAGGGGATGATGTTAGACATTTCAAAATGGTTGTTATGCCCGTGTCAGACAGTTTAGTTTTTGGAGTAAACTCCATGACCAGCACATTGTCTATGATCTGTTCTTTCCATTTGTGCAACATAGATGCTAAGGAGCTTGCTCAATCCCTTCTTTTACACACAAAAGAAAGTACTACCATATCTCAGTTTCTCAGTAAGATTAAGTCATATACCATACAGTGGTGCATGAATTTTTATGGACTGAACAGTAAAGTGGCATTTGGTTTGTCAATAATTTTATAGTAAGTTACTTATTTAAAAGTAACCTATCACATAAGTTACTTTTATTGGTTATAAGTAAGTTTCTTTAAATTAAGGGCCATATGATAACAGATGATGTAGCTGAACTCAATGGCTCATTGTTGTGTCTTTTAGTGAATAAGCTATTCAGGAAGTTGTAAAGTCTTTGCTAAGAGGGTGGAGAGTTGGAAGGGAGGAGATTCCACTTACACACCTGCAGTTTGCAGATGATACCATTCTGTTCTGTGAAGGTGGGGACATTAATTGGGTTAGGAACATGAAATTGACAATACAACTCTGAGCAGATGTCCAATCTTAAAGTGAACTTTGATAAGAGTTGTATAGTGGGGGTGAACATGGAGGAAAGGGAATTAAGTGAATATGCAGGCCTGTTAGGTTGTGCAGTTTCAGAGTGGCCTATGAATTACTTAGGTCTTCCCCTAGGAGATAATCCGAAGAATGAAAGTTTTGGAACCCAGTGGTGGAAAGTTTTGAGAAAAGACTAGCTTCTTGGGGGAGAAACTCTCTCCTTAGGGGGGAGAATCACTTTGATTAGGTCTTCCCTAGCTAACCTACCTATGTATTTCCTGTCAATTTTTAAGATTTCCACAAAAGTCTCTAATAAACCGAAAAAGCTAATGAGAGACTTTTTGTGGGATCYAGGAGAGGAGAAGAGGGACCATAGGGTGGGGTGGGAGGTGGTAACTAGATGTAAGAAGCTAGGTGGTCTTGGGATTGGGAATATCAAGAAAAGAAATATGACTTTATTGGGGAAGTGGCTATGGAGACTTCCATTGGAAAAAGAAAAATTGTGGACAAAGATAGTGGCTAGCATTCATGGGCTGGAGGACAATGGCTGGGACCCTGGAATTCTGGCAAGGACTACAGGTGCTTCTCCTTGGAAAGCCATCCATGATCTTCTTCCAATCTTTTCCCTATGGATCAGGTATGATGTGAATTCTGGCAATCTTATAAAGTTTTGGGAGCAAACTTGGGTTGAGGATTCCCCTCTGATGGACCAGTATGCCCTATCTAACTTGAAGAATGAACTCATCTCATCTTTTCTTGTGCCTTCAGACTCCTCTTCTGGGTTTGGGTGGAACTTGGGCCTGAGAAGGGCCATTAGGGACACATACCTTGGGAGTACTTCGACCTTGTTAACCATTCTTGAGAATGTTTTTTTGGACCACTCTTAGGAAGATATCAAAATTTGGACCCCATCCTCCTCTGATACTTTCTCTTGTGTTCCTTCTTTGAGACCTTATCTCAGCCTTCTACCTCTAGTGGTCTGTCTTTCGCTATTAAAGAGGTTTGGAGCATGCCCGTTCCTCCTCGGGTTGGTAGTTTTTGTTGGGAAGCATTCCTGAAAAGAATTAACACAGATGATTTGCTTCAAAGAAAGAGACTCAATCCTTGTTTATTCCCACATAGGTGTATTCTTTGTAAAGTTGAAGGGGAAATTGGTTACCACCTTTTTATTTCTCGTCGTTTGCTAGAACTATTTGGGAATGGGTTTTCTCCCTTTTTGGGTGCAGATGGACCCCTCCTTTGAATGTGCAAAGCCTCTTCTCTCCTTCTTACTTTAGTTGGCCTTTAAAAAGAGGGAGAATTATGTGGAGATGTATGAGGGCTGCAGTCTGCTGGTCTATCTGGGAAGAAAGAAACTCACGTACTTTCTCAGAAAAGGAGAGAACCATTGAGAAAGTAATGGAGTTAATACATTTAAGGGTGGCTCACTGACTGAAATCTTTGAACCTATTCACAGTTTTTCCTTGGATAACTTGATGAGATAGCTAATTCTGCCCAGCTTGATATGGTTTCTTCTCCCTCTTGGACCTCTCCCCCACCTGGATTCATGAAGCTGAATTTTGATGGAAGTAGTTTAAGGAACCCAGGGCTCTTTGGTATAGGGGGAGTGTTCAGGAACAATGAGGGGCTTATTATAGCCATGTTCTCAGGCCCTATTGGAGAAGGGGGCTCTCTTAGGGCTGAGATACTTGCGGCTCTAGAAGGTGCCAAAGAGCAAGGGAGCTGAACTTAAGAAAAGTGGTTTTGAAGGTGACTCAGAGGTGGTGGTGAGATGGATAAAGGAAGATAACTCTGGCATCTGGAACTACAGCAATGAAAAGAAAAAAYTTAAGTGGCTGACTAGGGACATTGAGGTGAAATCCAGTTGGGTAAAGAGAACTGCTAACTCACTTGCTTATGGGTTAGCCAAACAAGGGGTGAATAGGGGATCTCTCTTTTGGGCTCATTTATAATCTTGTAATTTTGTTTTGCTAAAATGGCGGAGTTAAGAAAGCTTACCTCCCCCTCTCTTGTAATTAAAGTTCCTTATTATTAATAAATTCTGCCGTTACTGATAAAAAAAAGGGCTGAAAGTGAAGTTTAGTTTATTGCTATATCCTCAAATATTTTACTAGTTAATAATCTTCCACTACAAGACAAAGTTGCGAGTCATTCAGCTAGCACCTTCAGCCATTATCAAATAGCCTCTTATCCTGGTTTACCCAAGTTTACTTATCAGAGCTATTTTACAGATGCGAAACTGTTGAGCTATTGGACCATAGGCTTTATTGTTATTTCTCATTATGTTTATGGGCCTGAGTTTATTAGTTGTCTCTTAAGTGATTATTAGTGCAGCCGCCCTATTAAGGGCACTCTTTTAAGCTATGATTAGAATTAATAAGACATGAATAAGGGGGCTGGGAGACTGTTCGATTCTCTTCTCCCAAAAACCTATTTCTCTCTCTCAACTCTCTTCAAGTGGTCTGGATCTTTCTCTTCTCCTTTCTGCTTATTATTTCTTGGTTAAATCAATAAATATTTGCCATTTATTTTACTTCTCAAAAGTACTTCTTTACTTTTCTACTGATGGTTAATTGATACAGGTAAAAAAAATACTTCTTTGTAGAAAACCAAACACCCACTAATTGATAGCATGGTAAGGTCAAGAGACAAATTAATAGTGAGCATTTGTTTATTGATTATGGACGGGAATTTAGCACATCCTGAACTTATAGATGTGAAAAGAGAAAATTTTGGTTCCAACTTGTGGTTGACTTTGAGTTTTGTAATGGGGACAATTAAATTTGATCTGGGGTTTTCAATTAAAGCCAAATACTGATTGAATTGATGATGTATGTATGGTGGAAGTTCATCTAAGTCCATAATTTTTTTTCTTTTAATGAAATTGCGATTTACTATAAAAATTTATGCAACATCTATTAAATTGGGTGTTGTATAACCAGCAAGTTCACTGGCTGTAAAATTCCTCATTGTGCCAATATTTGAAGTATGCTTTAGTTTTATTAAGAAGAAAGAAACCTGAAGCTCAATATCAATGTAATCAGCTCCCAGTTCCATGGCTAACCGAAGTGCATCTGTTCGTCTTTTCTCATCACCTTCAAATTCACCACCTTCCCATTTTGGCCTGGAAGAACACAGAAAGCTTAAAAATATCCATAACAGGACACTCTTAAAAAAGTTAATGTTTTTTCATAATATGATGAAAATGCACATAGTTGTTCACTCACAGAACCTATTAGCTGGTAACAAAACAACACTGAGAGAAAAACAAAAGGTTACAACTTTCATTCACCCCCTCACATATGAACCCCATGCACACTGGTTTTCAATAATATCACCTGCCCCACTACCAAATACATATGTCTGTGAAAGTAAAACAAATGTTCACCAATCAATCAACACCCAAAGAGCAAGAAAGAAAAAGCAACCCCCAAACATCATTCTACAAATAAAACTCAAAGTATTAGTTAGTCCACAACAATGACCTCTTGAAAATGCTTACACCTCAGCCCAGCCCTTTAAACCTTTCCATGTCCACTCAATTCCAAGACCTATACCCTTCATCTGTCAAAACAGATTCCACACCCTGAAAAACTAATCCCAAATTTGATGAGTATGAAAACTAGAATGGATAAGATAAAAAATGAGGTGATAAAATAAGGGAAAGTAGACTATGATGGTTTGTCATATGCAGAGAAAACCATCTCCGGCCTCAGTAAGAAGAAGTGATCTCTTATAACTTGAAGGAGCAAGAAGATAGGGTTGATCATTTCTGCTCAGCCCCCCACATCAAAACCCAAACATGATGTGGGCCGGGTGCCCTAAAATTCTAGGCCCAGGCAAACCAGATGTTTTATATAAATAATATAATATAACATAATACAATAACATATATGTACTATATAGATAATAGTTATGGTATATACAAGGTTTAAAATGTCGATGTCGATGGGAATGTCGATTACCCAAATATAGGACAAATGTCGATAATGTCGGAAGTGTCAGATGGGAATATTGTAAAAATCATAGACATTGTGGAAATATTATGAAATATGTGGAAATATGCAATGATATTTTGTAAAATGATAAAATACACATTAATGCACCTTTCTAGACTATTATCTTCCATGATGCATATCTTTTTGTTATAATAAATAATTAGAATTAAATCATATAAACAATATAAACCATTTAATATTTTTATTATTAAGAAAATTATTTTATTTTATTCTAATAAGTAATATTTTTATTATTATATAAAATATCTCACTATTTTTGGTTATCTATGAATATTTTATCTCAAATATAAACTTTCTTATTATTATTTCATTTTTTTCTTTTATAATGAGGGTATACAATATCACTATATAAATTATTTATTAAATCATAAAAACATTTTATTTTAATATTTTATTATTATAAAACATTTTATATAAGTAGTTAGTTTAATATTTTATAAAAACATTTTATTCATGCATTTTATTTTATTTTAATAAGTAGTTAGTTTAATCATTTGTTTTTATGAATATTTTATATTTTATCTTAAATATTGATTTTTTTATTATTTATTCACTTTTGTTGGATTCTATAATAAGGGTCTATAATATTACTATAGACCCTCATATACTTGTAATAAGACCATAAGAATATATTAAAGATTCTTTTCATAAGTTTTCTATTAGGAGGCCTATAGTATTACAATAGACCCTATTGCACTATAACATACTTGTAATTATGTTTTAAAGATTCCATTTAAAGGCTTGCTTTTGTGATGGTATATAGACTTAAATAGACCATCATGTACTGTGGCATGTCTTTTATAAGATAAACTTAAACATTTAGGCTTAAGGGTTCATTAGTCATTCGAACCCTCAACCTGAAATTTCGAAGACTCTTACAAAGACGCAAAGACGCAGTACGACTATGTGAGGATTTTAGGAATCAGCAGATGAAGACGAAGAAAAAGAGGAAGATGAAGACAAGCATTCTCCTCAACTCCTCATCTTCTATTTTTTTCCTTTTTTCCCCTTATTTTTCATGGTTATTCACTGTGAAAGGGAAATAGGGATAGTATTGCATACTTGAATCAAGATGAGACTTGAGAATGAGATGAGAGCAATTTCTTTTGGAGTTTTAGATGTCCAGTGTCCTGCGTCTTGTTCCAATAAGGGCAGTGTTGTAATGTTTGATGTTTATTGGATCAACCTTTTCTAATAAGGGTTGAATTCTGTATTTCAGGTTAATTTATCTCTAATGAAAGTTATCATTTCTGATAAAAAATAAAAAAATAAGGTATTTCAGCGCAAGACCAAGGGTAGAAGCCACTCTTGTGCCTATTTGAGCTTGAAGTTGTAGTTCTTCCGGCTTCAGGTAAGTAAACTGGAATTTTCTTTTCTCCCCATTTAATCTCTCTCTTTTTCTCTTTTTGTTTATGATGAAATTTGATTGTCTTCACTTTGAATATATGCTGATTTTTTAACATATGGACGAAATGTTTTGAAATATTGTTTTTTTAAACGGCATAGGCGATATTTACCGAAATGGTGAAAATATCGACCGACATTTTTTATTTTTTTAATTCAAGTGAGAGTTAATGTCGGTATGTCTTGACCCCGACATATGTCGGGCGACATTAGCGAAATGTCACAACATTTTAAACCGTGGGTATATATGTATCAAACTATCAATATTTTTTTTAATTTAAGTATATACTAAGATTAAATTTTTTATTTTCAAAATATATTTTTATTAATTTATATGAACAAATCCAGATACCCTGCTTGGCCTAGAGCTGGACATATATTATCAGGCCCAAGTGCAAGATATGACAAGTAGGGCCTGTTGGCCTGAGCAGCCCAAAATGCCATTACTACCCTATAAAAATCCAGCCCAGCCCATAATCATCTCTACTAGAAGAGATAGCGGCAAACCAAAAAGGAGATAAGTTGAAATGGTGAGAAATAATTTAAGGGCTCATAATTTAACAATGGGTATTAGGGGGGTGGGGGAAGCCAGAACATGTTAAGTCGGGTTGAGGTCAACCCTAACCCAACCCAAGCTGTTGAATCCCCAAACCTAATCCTAGGGTTGGATTCAGGTTGTGTTTGGGTTGGCCTGACTTCTCTACTTCCTTCTTCCAAGTGTTTCCTAGATTCAATGGTTCAAGTTAATTCGGTTTTAGCATTATTATGTATAAAAGAACATAATTACCATGTTTTCAAAGTATTTTACCTTTAAACTTAAAATATTTGACATAGATATATACATTTATGTACATAAATACTTTAAGTGAAAAAAATACATGAATACATAGATATATACATTTATGGATGCATGATTGAATATACATACATGCACACATACATAAATACATGTTCATATTATATTTATACATACAAATATGAAGTTAAGTCAGGTTGAGGTTTGGTTTGGTTGGGTTGGTCAATTCCTTGACCCTAACCCAACCCGAAGTTAAATCAGGTTCATACTTTTCAACCCTATCCTAACCCGAACTTCAAACAAACCCAACTTTTTCAGGATGGGTTCAGGATAACCCAGCCCAAGTTGCAGCCCTAATGGGTATGGCCAACCCCATACGGTTGGCACAAGGCTTAAATGATGATGATCAAGATTCTCTCTTTCTTCAAGTTTCCTAATTTTTTAGCATTTTATTCACCCCCTAGAAAAGAGCACCCCAAAATTCAATTCCAGAAAGAACACATCCAAAACTTGGATGGACATCATCACATGTAAGTACAATTTTGGAATTGTACATCATCACATGTACTTTTGCTTTTTGAATTAGTATATACAGTTACCTTTCTCAAAAAAAAAAAAAAAAGTAAGTACAGACACATTGAGGGAAATCATAAAGCTAGCATCAGAGCTAAAGGTAGCATACAAATGGACTCCAAGAACAGCCAACAAAATTCTGATGGGCCAGCAAAAAAGGGTTAAATAGGAACCAAATGTAACAGATAATCCTCCAGGGTGATGATCTGTAATAATATGTAAAGTTATGCTCAAGAGTGGGATGCTTAGAACTTGACTGTACAACTTCTCAATACATATTTTAATAAAATAAATTCACTGTTACTGACATAAAATATAGAAAAAAGTAAATGGTGGGAATTTCTCATATAAGACCTAAATACATGACCTAACCAACATCAAGAATGGATTATAGAGTCCTCCAATCATGGTGATGGAGGATTCAAAATTTCAAATTCCTTTTAAATTCAATATTATCAATAGGTCAATTCATCAATTCATAGAACACCTCAATTTTGGCTGTTAAGGCAACCCAAAAACAAAATGAAAGCATTGGCAACAGTTATGTTATCCCCACCATCAATCCTAAAGAATGAACCACATGTTCATATATTTAACAAGTACTCTCTTAGACCCTAAACAGAAAAAAGTTCCAAGTGTTTCCTCCCATGTCTTATATCAAATTCTAGCCTTAAGTCAGTTGCATACAATGTTTCAGTGATAACTATATCACTAAAAGAATTAGATAGTTGCAAATAGCATGTATGAAAATGAAGTCATCACAACAAGAGCTTTTCACCATGGATGATGTCATGATTGTTGTGAGACTTAACAATGTGGGCCTCGGCCCATTTGTGTTATGTCTTTCTATTTATTGTTGGGCCATACTTCTGTTATTAAATGTTAATGGGCCAGGGCTTGTTTATTTTAAGTTACACTATCTCTTACTAATGGGGAGGAACATTGCAATCTCATATTTTTTAATGCTGCCCAAATATAAATTTTAGTTTGAAGGGCTGGTTAAGAAACTGCTGCCCTATTCTAAATCTCTCTTCTTCTTTTCATTTCTTCATGAATCAGAACACAAACATGGTATCAGAGCATTAAGCCAATCTCATTCTGCTCGCCTATCTTCTTCACTTCACCTTTCTTCTCAAGTTCTCTTTTTTATTATTGGAGTAACAAGGAGTTCTACTGCTGCTCGTGATTAATTGAAGTTTTTTTTAGGGTATTGTCCTCGGAAACTCCAAGGAGACCCAGAATGGTTGCTGATATGTCCAGGTAGGGCAAGAAACTGTGGAGTAGTCATATGGACCACTAGAAAGACCTATTCAACAGGTCTAGCCGCTAGAC